TAAAAGTTGTAACAATTGCCTAACCCGATACCACCCCGTGCCTTGTCAAAAGATGCTAGGTTATTCCCTATATTCCACCCCAAATGGAAAGCATTGTATGTTCCTCTCTATGTTTGAAACCAAATAAGAAAACGGAATTGCCTTTTTGGACCTGGAACTGATAAGTGTAGAAGCCCTCCGTCCTGCCCTTGGGGACCGGTGCCCAGTTTCTTGCTGGACACTGACTGCTGGCTAATAAGCTCTCCTTTCTCTGCACTCCATGGGCATCTGGCTTGGGGACACACGCTCACTGCAGCACTCTCAGGTGATCACTGTCGGCCCTTCCTGCTGATGGCCGTGAGTGTGGCTCACCTTGTTGGGGGCAGCAGCCTGCTCACCCACGCTTAGGCCTTGATGCTGCCCAGTTGTAGAACCCATTTCTTGCTCAAATAAACTTTGTTAAAACTTGGTTTTAGAGAGTCTTCTGCCCCCTGCACATACCCACATAAACAGAAAGGAAGATGGTGGAGGGAAATGAGAGAGATTGTAGCATAGTCACAATAGCCGAAATGTGAAAGCAACGTAAATCCCATTTGCAGATGAACGGATACGCAGAAGGCCCTGGTGTCACTCAGTTCTGTGTTACTGCAATGAACTGCCTGAAGCAACTAAAGTTACCAATTTTCTTTCTTTTTTTTTTTTTTTTTGCAGAACCAGGGATTGAACTCAGGCCCTTGTGCTTGCCAGGGAAGCACTTAATCCACTGAGCCATCTCCCTGGCCCCTGAAGCAACTAAAGTTAAGAAGTGAAAATATTTGCTTAGCTCCTGGTTTTGTGGTTCATGTCCACGGCTGGGCAGCCCGATGTATTTGCCTGTGATGAGGGCAGCACATCAGGCGTGAGCATAGGTAGGTGCAAGGAGCATCATAGACAGACAGACTGGTATTCCACAACTGGGAGCACAGCCTCGGTGGCGGAAGGCCCTCCTGCCAGGGGCCTGTCTGTACAGGTCCCACAGCCTCATAGTAGTGCCATCCGAGGTCCAAATGTTTAATGCATGGGCATTAAACGTTTGACCTCCAGCTGCACACTGTCCCTGGCTGCCACAGGGTCGCGCCTGTTTCAGCATGCACTCTGCATTCCTTCTTCCCAGGGGCTCAGAGCCATCAGTCCCCGCTTTGCAGGCCAGGGTCTCACCGGAGGCTCAAGCCCAACCCCTCTGTGATCCTGGTAAAATCCAAAACACCTGCCTC